GGTTCCTCTCATCGAGCTGTGACTCATGCGCGCATACGCCAAACGTGCGCTTCGCATTGGCCCGTCCATAAGTGACTGAGCGAGACCGAGGGAATGAGTGACTGAGTTATCCGACTGACTGCAAAACATCGCTTTCTCTCTGTCCGAGTCCGATGCTCATCGCCACGCGTTTCATGTACTCAAAATACTCGTGCTTCGCTCGACGGTCTTCGCGAGTGGTCTCGTTACGCAACCGCCGGACTGAGTCTCCGGCACTTTCTGAGCAATAATCGAAAACTCAGTGTTCAGATTCAATGCTCTCGAAATCGAAACACGATCATTGCTAAAACCTACTTAAAGTGTTCTCTACGCCCTTCCTTCGAAATCTTTCTCTCAACAGCATTTGAAACGAACACGTGCTTATCCCATTCACTTATTCGCTGAATCACAACTTGCAGTATCTTACACCAGAAATGAATGCATTCTTCACATAGCCGCAGACTTCTGCTCAGAACGCTGAACCACCTCGTTGTTATGAAAATCTTTCCCGCAACCTCCCTCAGTCGCTATGCGATTTTCATTGCAAAAGCATGCTGATTTCTATAACAACTTAGCATGGAACTAAAGGCCGACTGGACACCATTAATCTTAATAAAAATGTTCAAATTTACGATGACGAAGAAAATTGCAATATTCACAGCTATTGTGCTATATTGTTGCTTTCAAAAGCAGAATGACTCTCGTTTTCAGTATTTCTTCTTATCGACCGCGTTTTGCCAATTGAAAGGCTCCTGTGATCTCAAGTCTCCAACTGGTACACCTCATCGTGCGCAGCATCACACAATATTTATAAATCGCACTGCAACATTTTCTGCGTTCCCCACGAAACACTTGTTCAACTTTTCACTGACTCTTTTTTAAAATAGTCTCCTATGCACCATAATATTTTAGTGAGTAATAGAGCAATTTCCGTCAGATCAAACGAATAGCTTCTATATTATGATTGGCTCTAAGTGGTTTGCTACGTATAGATCTAAAATCTATAATTTGTATGAGGTTTAGGATCGCCCGACTCCATCTTCAAGGTTATATCGTGCATAGAGGTGACGAAAAAATATCTAAGACTTTTAGCAAATTGCATATAGTATGTTTATGTGCAGTAAACCCTCTAAACACGATCAATTTCCCTCCTATTCTAAATAGTAATAGAGCTCAAGTACTACTCAAAACTACCATCTGTCTTTCCATGTACTCTCCTTTTGTTGTCGAGCCAACCGCGATTGCCAGCGGTGCAACCTGATCCAAATCAACCTGTGTCCCCTGTATCGTATTCCAACGATTGATTATTCGTTGTATGAGCCATTCAGCCAGCCAGTCAATCAAATTTATTTAACTGAACACTAAGGAATACGATGCACTGTCAAAACCATGAAAATATGATATAGCAAAGCAACATTTAAAATGCTTTATCGAACAAACAGAACAACGCGAAAGAACGACTCATGAGAAATCTGCAAAGTTGATGATCTGCCTAATGAACAGCACAAGAGGAGACGATACCGTCGAACTTTATTACCGCTAGCAAACTTTACTGTTCACAATAATTGCATTCAAAGGGCAAATGTATGACAGATATATGCACCTCAGCTAAACTAAGGCTAGCTTTGAAAGCGGTTGTCTGGGTTCCTCTAGTAACTTTGCCTGACAGTAGGGCACGCTTCATTTTCATTCTTCCAATTCAACATGGTCCCTGTCTTCATTCTAAAAAACAAGGCCGTTTGACACCCAAACGTAGGCTTTACTCTTGGTCGCAGATGAAGTTACAGATATCTGGGGGAACATGCTATCCTTATGAAATATGCCTAGGCTATCCTGCTGAGTAGTATGGTACGGAAAGATGAAAGTAATGAAGGATCAAGCCAAACT